TGTGCCTTACTGTTACGATGAAATGATTTCAGGGCGCATTGGTTCTAAATAGACCCATGAACACTCAAAGAGCCCTTCGCATGATTAAAGGGTTCTTTGCATCATGAGAGGGTTTTAGACTGATAGAGAATGTGTGGGTGGTTCTATATAGTACAGTATCCAAAAGGGTTCTTCTAATGTTACAATGTCAAGCTTTTTATTTAATTATTTAGCCTTTACTTTAACCAGACAAGCCATTAAGAACATATTCTTATTTACAATGGCTGCCTGGCAAGTGCTGCAAGACTTATAACAGAAACAATAGAACAATAGAAGAACCCTTTTAGGTGCTATATAGAACCCTTGGAATTGGAACCCTTATAGCACATCTGAAGAATCCTTTCATGATGCAAAGAACACTTTAATCATCCAAAGGGTTCTTTGAGTGTTCATGGTTCTATATAAATCCCTTTAGGATAGGGTTCTATATAGCACCAAAAAAGTTCTTTATGCACATTGAAGAATGCTTTCATGATGCAAAGAACACTTTAATCATCCAAAGGGTTCTTTGAGTGTTCATGGTTCTATATAAATCTCTTTAGGATAGGGTTCTATATAGCACCAAAAAAGTTCTTTATGCACATTGTCCATCAATCTGAAGAATGCTTTCATGATGCAAAGAACACTTTAATCATCCAAAGGGTTCTTTGAGTGTTCATGTGTCTATTTACAACCTATTAGTCTATTTAGTACATGGTTCCATATAGAATCATATTAACCTCACTACTCATTACTTTACTTCTGTGTTACTCTCTAAAACTGCACCTGCTGTAAAACCCAACAGTCCATTCAGCTCTTCAGTTGCAAACAAACAGCCAATCACAGTGAACATCATTTAAATCTGTCAGCAGGGGCGGAGCTTACACTTTCAAGTTAAAGAAAATGGAATGGACACGTCCCAAACTGCCCTCCTGTACGCATAATTTACACAAAGCACACCCTATTGATGTTTCACCAGCAAGCAAAAAACAAAAACCAAAAACATTCAGCAGCTCATGAGCCAATAGCTGTCCTCATAGGTGGAGTTTGGGGTCAGGCAGAAGTAGGTTGTACGTCAATCTGGTCAAATCTGTACTCCTTTCTACGCAACTTTGGTCCTGCGGAAGGTTCACTTGATTTTTCCCTAGATTAATAGCCAACGCAGGTGTCGGCAACCCAAATGTTAAGAAGAGCCATTTTGTACTTTCAAAAAAAGGAAAAAAAAATCAAACCACCTCGGGCCACAACATTTTATGTCCATTTTACCATCCTGGCTGTAAATATGTCTCAGTATGAGCTGATGTACTGATATAAGGTAAAAATAAACAAAAACACAGACTTACTTTGCTCTGCTTTAAGCTTTAGCTCAGCTATAGCTGCTTTCTTCACATCTCCGGCAGGAAATTTTTCCACAAAAGTAGAATAATTTCTTGTAAAATGTCCATGTTTGACTTTTTACGAGGCTGAAGTCGCTTCTCATTCGTCAGCTTCTTGTTCAGATTTTCCCGTTCCACCTTAAATGGTGCCTGAGGCGCCAGAATGTAACTGCGGCATCATTTAAGGTGGAATGGGAAAATTCAAGCAGGCAAAACAAGGAAACCCCCCTCCACATTTTTTCATATCTTCTATCATTCTATCACATTAATTAACTGATACACATACATACAGTAGTAATATAGCACATTGGCTTTAACCTCTTATTCTCCAGGGTATATTTTGGTTTGTTCATCTGAATTTATGTGACCAAATCGTAAGGCAAATTATTCAGTAATTGCATGAAATAAAAGTACATTTTATATATATTTTTTTTTGTAAAAGCTCCCCTCAAATTAACAGAAAATGTGTTTTTATGATCATACACATATTGCTATATGCTTACAGTTTACTGCTGAAAGCCAAAAATCTTAGACGCTCTTTGTATTATTTTATAAAAATAATTTTACAGAGCAGATCACTGAAGAGACGCCATCTGTTTATAGTTTATAGCCCAGATTTGTGGAAAAATGGGTCGACTTTCAATAGAAAAAAAATTGTGAGTTCAGCTTTTTTTTATTGTAAGGGTTTAAAATTACATCACCCATCTATTTGACTGGAGACAGTTACAGCTCTCATGACACCCACCTTTTGAATGTAGCTTATGAAATATGAAAGTTAGGAAGAATATGACGAAGTGCGTTTTGGAACCACCGGTGGTCTCAAGGAGTTAAACAGGTTAATATCAACACAAAGGCCTTCCAGTGGCACAACAGCTCGCTTCTCTCACTCCAATTCAAACAGTGGACAGTGGTTGATTGACCACCTGCCACATTAGCTTGCTAGATTAAAAAACATCAGTTAGCTAACTCCTATCTTCTCTCCACATCGCTATAGTTTTCCAATAGCATTAAACAAACAGAGAGAGACTTAAACCGTTTTCTCCTGTTTCTGAAATTCGGCTCCTGAGAAATAAAACTCAGATTTTCTTTGATCAAAAAACTGTTACATATATGGATGAACTCCTCTGTGTCTGACTCATCTCACCTCAGTCTCAGCGGGATAATATTTCCATAAGAAAAGTCTAAGAGCTCATTGTTTTCTTATATAGCTCAGTTCTCAGTCCTAACTCGTCATGTTTTGAAGTTTGGTCAGAAGCCCTTGGGGTCAGTATGTGCCCGCTGAAGGCGCCCTTTCGCGTCAGGTATTTGAGGTGCACGGATTCTTTATGTTGCTAGTATATTGTGTATTTTTGTCTGTGAATAATGTACATATGTGCATGTAACTGTCCTAATATTGTCTGTATACTGTGAATATTGTATATTGTGGATTGTCTGCAACGTATATGTACATTGTCTGTATATTGCATATAGTACAGAGAGACACCAACGGCTGGAACACACCTTGTGTGTATCAACATACTTGGCCAATACATTTGATTCTAATTCTGATTTTGATAATGTTAAGATCATCTTAACACCTTAAAAATCCAGGCTTATTACACACTAAGCTTATTATTCAGAAACTACAAACTGGCTGAGCTATATAAGGGGTGAACTGGAAGAGAGAGAGTTCAGTGTGATGCTCGCTCTACTATTTAAGAATCAATTCCATGCTTTTGGGAAACCCAGCCCTGATTGTTACCAACCCCTTACTGAGCTGAAGTGGGAGAATTAAAGCAAGGAAAGTGTGCAGGAAACCCTTCTCATTCTAACTCGTCATGTTTTGAAGTTTGGTCAGAACCCCTTGGGGTCAGTATCTGCACGCTGAAGGCGCCCTTTCGCGTCAGGTATTTGAGGTGCACGGATTCCCACATACATCAAGCTAAACTCTCCTGCGTCTAAACTCGACGGTGAACTACAGAAAACATCGATCCGTATTTAGGAGCCTCCATTTCATCTGGTATTTGTTGAATATTGTGTGTCTACAAGTCACTTTTGTCATTTTTCTTCATTCCTCGTCTTAAATAACGGCCATACAACAGTTTATTTCCCTCAAGTTCATTCGAGATGTAATGAAGTTTAGGCTCTGTCAGTAAATCGGAATTCCTCAGCCTATAGTCAGTAGACTTTTACCCCTGTTTCGTGCTTAATTTATGAATGTTTTATAACTGTTTAATATGTTTAGAGATGTGTTTTCCACGGTTTAGTTGAAATCTCCGTTAAGTCAATCGCCCCTCTGCGTCGCTGCTCTGACGCGCTCGGCGCTCCTTTCACTGCATGAAGGCGCTTCTGCTGATCGGTTCGTCGGAAAGAGATCAACACAGGTCTGATAATCACTTTCATCACACTCAGCTTTACTATATATATATATATATATATATATATATATATATATATATATATATATATATATATATATATGTACACGGGACTGTTGGTCGGGAGACACTTGTCTGTTTTAATCCTTGGTATATTTTGGTGTTTTTTTTTCGGTCACCATGTTGGACAACCAGAACATCCGGGTGTTGAATCTACAGAAATGAATCTATAGATATTTAGTTCAGGGTTACTTTCAGGTTTTGAAGCGTGGTTGCTGTTGTATTGTTGAACAAAGCGCTGGGACTGTCCTCAGATTATTCTTATTAAAAACAGCATTTCTAATGCTTTTCCATCTCGTGCCGTAAATCCAGGCGATGTTCTCAGTGTCCTCGTTTCAGCGCTGTGAGTGAGCGAGCATAACGCAGACACAGCTATGAGCTTTTTACAGGTGACTCGGCCTTCATGAGTAAAGGGTCCGTTTCAGTAGTTGTTACTGTCATACCTTGTAAATTATAACTACATAACCAGCTGATTTTGGTCAGCTAAACAGTCGACCTCAGGTCAGTCTCATAGACCTCATGGCAACGTTAGCTAGCTAGTTAGCTGGCTTAGCCTTTGCTAAGTCCTTTAGCCAACGTCCGTTACGTAGCTAACTAGCTCCTCGCGCCGTCACAGCCGGGTCACTCTAAATTAGTCATTGTACAATTAGCTTATTTTACTAATTTAGCTGTTGTTTCTAATTGTATTATTATTGATGAATTAATATTCAGGATTGAGTCTCTGTGGTCCCCCGGCTTCTAATCATGTGTTTTTGGTGTCATTAATGTTACTGTGTAGACTGTGTAGCTTAGCTATGTAGATCGGGCTCTGTGGGATTGTGCTCTACATTGGTTTAACAGTAATACTGTGTGTATTGGTTCATTTTGCTGTGGTGGTTGCAGTGTCTGTTCACTGTAAATACACATTGCATACTATCAAAACAAGCAACACTTTCATACATTTATTAAGTGATAAAGGATTACTTTACTGAACATTAATTGATATTATGTGTTTCCCCCTTTTTTACATTTAATGGAGTGTGATTTTTAAATGGGCTTCACTGTCAGGTTTGCTCTGCACAGGACTGGTGTGGCTGCAGAGCTGCATTCCAAACAAGCACGAGCTCGCCTGCTTCCAGCTGTTAAATCTGTTGATCTCAGTATTCAACTGTTGATCGTTACCTTCTTTGCTGGAATGAGAAGCTGTAGTCACAGTGGCCCTTTGCGGATAGATAGGGATGTCCTATGGTATCTGATTATACAGCACAAGGTATAACAACAGAATAACTGTTTCTGATATGGTGGCCAGGGAACATAGACTGTAAGTATTGAACATTGAGAGCTTGTGTAAAATCATGACTGTCCACAAATTGTTTGCTTTTTTCCAGGAATAATGACAAAGCCAAAGCTGTGGCCCTGTCCTCACTGCCAGAAGCGAAATTCTGCCAATTCCAAAAGTTGCAGACACTGTTTTGCAAACTTAAGTTTAAGGCAGAGATGCAAAGAGAGGGAAGTCCAACTTCTGGCTGGACAATAGGGAGAGACCAACCTGAAGCACAGAAAGCCAGCCGGGTGATAGACTCTGCTCGTATTACAGTAAGTATAAATATACTTATATAGTAAGTAGGGCTGGGCGTTCTTCACAACGACAGCGCAGTTACAGCGCTCAGTCATATTTTAGTATTTGTTTATTCACAAGCAACGAAAGTGAAAGATGATGGGGATACTGTGTGGCATTGGAGACCAGGAGAGCGCTATCTTTCCAGGCTAGGTTAGCTGTTTTTAGCAGCTGGCTAATTTGAAGCAGCTCTCTGTCACTCGCACAACATGGCGAACTGATGATACTGTAGATCAAAAAAGACCAAAAAAAGCAATGTTTTCAGTTTAAATATACCTAAAAGGAGGACTCTGTTTGTCTGGTGTGAGATTCACGCTGCAGTTAATGCTTTTACACAGCGAGCGTTCACCCCTCAAACTACTATGACAGCTTAGAGAAACCCGGTCATCTGCTAGCTGGTGTTTGAATACTGTGATATGTTCTGACATGGATGCAGTAGGAGTGATGGCAGTAAGGCGGTGTGATCCATCACTGACGTACTGAGCCAGCTAATGTTTGCTGTTTGTACTAAGTTGACATTGTTAAGAAACTAAACAGTTTAGCACTTGTAACCAGGTAGCCTAGCACTCGTCACCAGACAGCTAAAATAATCTGTTTTCATCCTTAAATTATGACTATTACAAAAATTGCGGCCGTGCTTTTCCAGTTGGTAATAACAGCTCACCAGAAACTTTCTCCCACTCTCCCATGACAGATTTGTTGTGTTCTTCTGTTTGGCAAGTGTTTTGTCATGTTCTGACCATAAATAATGGTTTAAAACAGCAACTGACCAGCCAGGAGCAAAAATCAGCCTTCAAACTCGCAAGAAATAATAATTTGACATTTATTGTGATAAGTATCAATATCGAACGATATGAATTTTTTTTTTGTGATAAGATTTTTGTCCATGTCGCCCAGCTCTAATAGTAAGTATATACAAGTCAAAGGGCATTTTAGAAATGTTTACCAAGTGGTTTTCCACATACTGATAATTTACAATTGGGTTGATTACACCTTTAGAATCAAAATCAGGCTTTATTGCCCAAGTATATTTGAACAAGGAATTATTTTTGTTTTAACAGTACCTCCCGGTTACACATTAAAGGACAATAGAAGTTTCACACTTGTCTCCCGGTTTTAAGTTTCACAGTAATATGGACATCTACCACGCATGCACACTGTAAAACAGGCATGCAAACATCCACACCTGTAGACATTCACCCAAATATACGTAAGAATAAAGAATAAAAATATTCTCAAAAATATTTATAGAATAAAAAGTGGCTAAAATACAGAGTAAAACAGTTTAGACTAATAATATTTATTAGACTCCAGAAAGCTAATCACTTAGCTTTGAAGAAACCTTGGGGGGATCCAGACTCACACAGGGGGACCCATCCTCCTGTGGTCAAACTACATATATGTTATACACGGTAACACCATATGAGTCTCTAATTATGCTGATCTAATCATAGTGGTGACAGTGAAATTAATGAGAGAAATAATGATGGTTAATAGTAGTAGTAATGACCATAATTATAATAGCAGCAATTAGAAGGTTAATAGTTAGAGTCTATATAAACATCAATGTAGTTGGTAATTGAGGGTCGGCAACTAGTCCGATGCAGGTAGCAGTAGTGAGGGCAGTTTGCAACGGGTCTCTACTGCACTGTGTATTATAGCTGGAAGAATACCCAGATTTAGACCACAACAAGCAAAATTATATAGAATGCAGGATCATCAAAGTTTAAAAACATAAAAACACACTTACTGCTGAGGTTTCAGATGTGTATATACCCAGATCAATCACTTCATAAGTACACATCTTTGTACATCAGCTCCATGTACCATATAGGTGCACTTTGTAGTTCTACTCAGCACACTTTGTTAGCCTGTCTTTAGCACTGCAGTGATGCTGACATGTTAGTGGTGTATTAGTATGTGTTGTGCTGGTACAAGTGTATGAGACACAGTAGTACTGCTGGAGCGTCCACTCATTGTCCACTCTAGTAGACACTTTATTAGACACTGTCCACTCTATTAGACTACCTAGTTGGTCCAGCTTGTAGATGTAAAGTCAGTGACAGTAGCATATTGTGTTGCTGCACAGTTTGTGTTGGTCATCCACTAGTCCTTCATCAGTGGTTACAGGACGCTGCCCACAGGACGCTGTTGGCTGGATGTTTCTGGTTGGTGGGCTATTCCCAGTCCAGCAGTGACGCTAAGGTATTTAAAAACTCCAGCAGCACCACTGTGTCTGATCCACTCTTTCCAGTGCAGCACACACTAACACACCGCCGCCATGTCAGTGTCACTGCAGTGATGAGAGTGACCCATCATCCAAATAATACCTGCTCTGTGGTGGTCCCGTGTGGTCCTGACGCCCAAAGAACAGTGTGAAAGAGGGTTAACAAAGTATGCAGAGAAACAGATGGACTGCAGTCTGTGATTGTAGAACTACAGAGTGCTCCTGTATGGTGAGTGGAGCTGATGAAATGGAGAACGAATGTAGAAACAGGGAGGTGTACTTATTGAAGTGGTTGATCAGTGCATTTCTCTTCTCTGCACATTTTCCAGCGTAGTGCTGCATGTTATGGTTGGGTTATAGTGTTGGACACTGGGTGTGGCCGAGTCATTCCCCAAACCTGCTTTCAATGAATTTCAGTCATTTTCAATAAAAAGTAGGTTCTATATGCCAACACATCAAAATCAGTTGCTAAACATCAGTGTATGACAGGGCTACACAATATATCATCCATTAATCATTATCATGGTATGTACTGCTGCAAAACTGATATCACAGAAGGTATAGTGTGTAAATGAGCCAATCATATGTTTATAAAACTGTATGCAGTGAGCAATCAGAATGAATGAGTGTGTATTCAGGTTTCAGTATTTGTGTAATCTAACAAAAGTAAATGATTTTGGTGAAAATAGTGCAAACTTATCATTAGCCATATCATGCCATGAGATGGCCAGTGTGTTGTAATGTATTGTAAAGCACAAAACAATAACACTATCTAACCATATGATTACAATGTGAAATTTTGTCCATATCGTTCAGGCACAAGTACTGTGCACTTTGAAGCAAGTTGATGTGTTCATGTGAGCTGTATAGTAGTATATCTACTCCTCATTTACCCTTTTCTATTGCCCAATCAATGTGACGTGCTCATTGGTATAAACAAATGCTGTAACTATAAAGACATATTACATTATTCTTTTGTTTTATACTACAGACTCCACCCAAAAAATAAATAATACAAAGCACAGATAGCACAGTGTTTAAATGTTATTTTAGGAAAATAATCACACTACACATTCACATCATTGTACAGTCTCCAAAAAATGAATGATTGTTTGTTTATTTCACATTTGTTTTTTCCAGTTGTTGTAATTTTAACACTACAAAATCTGGTCAGTAGGGGGAGCAGTGCACTACCTGCTCAACCTCAAACTCTGAGTACGAGCACAACCCATTAGCTCATCAGCTGCTGAATGCTGTTGTATTTTCAGCTCTGCTGGAACGTCTGCATTAATTAGGGTCCTCCATGTGATGATGTGTAAATAAGGTGCTGGTTAATTACCTGCACTGGTTTTCTTGTTGTATGAACGTTTCATAAATCATATACTGAGTAGTTTGTACGGTCAAATCTGTGCTCTTTTTTTACTCACATTTGATGAAAAAAGATCACTTACTTTGTGTGACAAGTACATAAATATTTAGATCGGAAGATATTTTTTCACTTTTGTTAACAAATAAATTACATTTAAGTTAGTCAGTCAATACTGTCGCTGTGTAACTTGTGTGTTTTTGTATTTCAGGTTAGAAAACTGGAAGCACTAGGCTTGAAGCCTTTTCTTTTCATTTGAAAGAAAGGCAAGAAAGGGAATGTCACAGCGGATGTTATCACCTCTGTGGGTCCTGTTTTGGATGGGCCACTTAAAGACATTTTTAGTAAAATGACCAGCTTGTATAAATACTTTTTGAAAAGTAAGTCATACTCTTTTGTCAGATACTTGTTAAAAACCTTCATAAGTACTTTAGTCATTACTTTAGTACATAGGGCTGTTCAGAAATTCGTTCAATGATGGAGTCTGTTCTAAGAGTTGATGCCACACATTAAGTTTATTGATTCTCGATTCCAAAATCTTGACGACAACAGAATTTCTAACACTCCTTGTGCATGCAATGTGGAAACACATCACTATGAGGAGTCAACTCCAAAGCTTTGGAGTTGATTCTTGATTCTCAAATGCATGGTTCAGATAATAAAATCTTTTTATGATTGACGTCCAGCTCTGTCAGAACTTTTTTTCTCATTCCACTTGCAGATTCCAAGAGATTATATTAGTGAGGTTTCTAGTGGAACTTAATTAATTGGGAAGACACATAGCAGAACGAGTTGAGAATATTACACCCATGTAGAATATTTTCCCACATTTATACTTTTGTACTGTTCTGTTAAACAGACTTTACATGTTTTTCACTAGTTTCTAAGTTAGTGTTTGATATTTTAAAAGGTTGATTATGTGGCAAATAAGATTATGTTTCAGTAATAACAGTAAATACATGTCTTTCAGATCGCTTGTATGGATCTGGATTTTCTAATAAATATTAATTCTTTGTTCTTGAACTTCTAAATAGATGCTTTGCCTTTTTGAATATTAATATCAAGTAATTTATCACTTGAAAATATATACATGGTTATTGTTTTGTAAACTTCAATACATTTTTTCACTTTCACCATGTTAGCAAACACCAAAGTGTTTGGTATATGTGTCACCTCAGATTATTATCAGGATGGATGACGTTTAAGAGTTCTACATGCTCAGATAAAATTAATGTGAAGATAATTGAGTGTTTGTTTATTAGAGTTCATGTGCTTCTTTTTCCATGTAATTTTTATATGTTTCAGGTCATGCAATGCTTCTGGCAGCCACCACAACAGCAGACTCTGGGAATTCTCCACAAACACTTCCTGAAGATTCTGCTCCTGATACCGATACACCCCATGAAGAGACATACTCTTCAACTACTGATGCACCCAGTGATACAGAGCACTATGTGCTTAATCTAATCCCCATCCCACCCTTTCAAACACCCTCTCTCCTCACAGAGCCTGCATCTGTTACCTCTCTCCTCACTCCACCCATTTCTGCTACCTCTCCTCTCACCCCACCTACATCAGCTACCTCTCCTCTCAACCCACCTACATCAGCTACCTCTCCTCTCACCCCACCTACATCAGCTACCACTGGCTAAGTGTCCGGATTTAACAGGACACAGCTAAAGAGTCACCCCAGAGCCGCCAAATTGGGCTCGTTTGAAAATGGCAGTAGCGGCCAAAACGACTGACTACAGACAGGAGAAAATTAACGGCCTTATGAGCGGATAAACGAACCGCCGTAGGAGTGTTTGAATGGCTGTAAACCCGGACAGAGAGCGCAGACAGAGAGGAGTTTGCAGGTTTCAGGCCAAATTTGGATTTTGTTTTGGGCTCCTTTCAGAATGAACCGTGGCCGAGGAATCGCCGTATGAGTGTATGAACAGCCGTAAATTTGAGTACACACAGGCAGGTACAGTAGAGTACAGCTGAGAGACACAGAGAGAGAGAGATGCAGTAAAGATTAGCTATAAAAAATACATTCAAACAAACAAAGAAGAAAGCTAAAAGTTTAATGATGTCTATCAGGAGTATTTGGACAAGTTATAATATTCAGTGTTTAGTTTAATAAAGTACCGTGCAAAAATTACAGCCTAGAAAATAGTTTAAAAACAATTCATCTTGGCAATAAATGTGTTTTTGCTGGTTATTAATATGCTGGCTAGAAGAAAACAGTTAGAGGAACACAGTTCTGAATCCTGATTTCTCACTGCAATGCAGATTTGTTAAATTCCAGCACTGCTGATTTAATTTAATGAAGGATTGATCAGATAAGCTAGTGCTGAATCTCTGATACCTGCCTCCTGTCGGTATAGTGCATTATGTGAATTATGGAGTTTTGATGTCCTGTAGTGAATGTCCTGTAGTGAATTCTGTGCAGGTGGTTGAATCACCAGTATCTCTCTGTTAGACAGTGTATGCAGTATTTGAGTGCAGGAGCTATAGGTTAAGGCCTATGTTGTGCATTGTGTAGGGAGTAGGGTACCATGTGAGATTCAGCCTATCCACTGGATGGTATTAAATGGTTAAAAATAATGTATTCTTTATTTGTGTGTTTGTATTTATTGTTTACATTAGTTTTAGAAATGTAATGTGATGGTGCATCTATTAAGTTAAGTTTAGGCAAACAATATCAAATGGCAGTAACCATAAAGGCTGTTAGCTCTTGACAGAAGTACAAAGAGCTGCATGTGATTATTGTTATCAGCCTGACTAGGGTAGTAGTGAAAACCCAGGGAAATGTTTGGGAACTACTTAAACAGTAATTACAGTTTTAACTCTTGTTTTGTTTCTTGTGCTTTTTTCAGTGGTCACTTCTGCCCCTGTCAGAAAACCTCTGTTCAGTGCTTCATCAGGGACACATTATTCTGTGTTCCCACGTGTCTTTAGAGGATTCCAACAAGCAAAGGGACGCGATCAAGGTATGTTTTTTTTGGTTATGTTCACATAACATTAGAAAATGAGAAAATGATGCTTTCTGTGCTACAGCTTGGCCTGGCAGATTAATCACTCTTATATTTAAATCACAAGAGCTGCAGTATTTATTATAGAAAATATATATTAACAAGGTTTAAATGAGGAAATTTCAACAAATCATAGAGCTTGTGAACTGCCTGTAGATGAGTTTGACCAATGCATGTGCTGTATATGTGTTAACCACGAAATAGTAGTCTTGCTCACTCAGTTTTCAAGCGCCTCAAGCTTGAAATAGTAGATATTCTGTTAGATATTTTCCCCAAATCATTCAGCCCTCGCTACAGCTTGCACATACTATGATTCAAGGTTATTTTTTATATTTAGAAATTTGTCATAAAGACTATATCATCAAACTGCTGCTCATTATGCCTGACTATCAGACAACAAAGTCTGAAAGGTTAGAGTTACAATGAGCAGAGAAAAGTGGCAAATCAGTCATCAAAAGTCAGTAACTTACAGTTGATCAGCTAATTCAGATAGTTAATTATGATACAGTTACAGATGATAACAGTAACAACAACAGTTACCATGATTTCCAATTTTTTGCATTTTACATTACAGTGGTATGGATGCTAAATTGATTTAAAAGGGCACAGGACGCATCAGGTTACAGGCTAAAACAGATAAATGTTTGATTTTCTTTTTCACAGGTGAGGCAGTGGCCACTGCTTTAATGGTAGCTAACAAGATCATTAAGAGGTCCCACAGTGTCCAAAGCCTGGAGTTATGGAATTGTCTTCCTTATGGATGCCTCCTAAGATGACTGTCATCTTTCTCAGAGTGGATGTTAAAACTGTTATGTAGTGATGGTTAAGGGTGAGTGGACTGAGACTGAAGGAAACAAAAGTGCACAGTAATAATGAACAGTGACGTGTCATTCTGTGAGATATTTGATGTGAGCATTGCAAATAATTAAAGTCCTAATCCTTAAAATACAAACCCCATTTCTAGAAAAGTTGGAACATTTCCAAATTTTTCACTGACCAACTTATTTAAAGTAAATTTAGAATTTGATGCCTGCAATACACTCAGAGGCATGTTTACCTCTCTGTTACATCATCTTCCCTTTTAAGAACACTTTTTAATTGTTTGGGACATGAAGATACTAATTGTTACAGTTTTGTAAGTGGAGTTTTTGCCCATTTATGCTTAGAACTCATTGAGTTCTGGCTCAACAGTTTTTGGTTGTTATCGTCTGACTCTGCTCTTCATGATGTGCCATACATGTTCAATAGGAGACCGATCTGGAATGCAGGCAGGCCTGTAAGGCACACACACTCTCTGTCTATAAAGCCATGCTGTTGGAGTACATGCTGAATGAGGCCTGGCATTGTCTTGGTGAAAGAACCATGGACTTCCAGGGAATAGATGTTGTCTTGATGCTTATGTCTCTTTAAAATCCGAATAAATGCTTCAGTGGTACCTTTCACACATATGCAGGTCATCCATGCCATGGGCACTGACGACCTTTACCATGACAGATGTTGCCGTTTGCACCTTTCACTGACAAAAGTCTGGATGGTCCCTCTCATCTTTGGAATGGAGAATTCAACATCCATTTGTTCCCAAAACAAGCTGAAACGTGCACTCATGTGACCACAGCACACATTTCCACTGTCTTTCAGACCGTCTGAGATGAGCTCGGGCCCAGAGAACTCACCAATGTTTCTGGATAGAATTGATGTACAGCTTTCTCCTTCACAATAGAGTTTTAAAGTTGCATTTCTTGATGTAGCGACTGATAACTGGTTTTCTGAAGTACTCCTGACGTACTCCCTCCCTTCTCATGCAGTGCCGTCTGAATGCTTGAAGATCACACACATCCCGCGTTGTTTTCCAGCCTTGCCCTACATGGACAGAGATTTCTCAGAGATGTCTTGTGGTTAGTGGTGTTCTTTTTGAACTGTTTGACACTTCTCTCACAAAAATCTTCTCTTTGCTTGATGAGACTGAGCCTTTGATGGACGGTCGTTTTATATCCAATCGTGATACCCTCACCTGTTACCAGTTCACCAGCTTATTGTGGAATGTTTCAAAATGGAGTAACTTGAATATTCTAGAAACTTTTCACTCGTTTTGGCCCGTCTCAGCTTTTTTTGAGCGTGTTTTAGGCATCAAATTCAAAATTAAGTTGGTCAGGCAAAACATTAAAAATAATTTCTTTGTACTTTTGTCAGTTAAATAAAAGTAAAAAAATTGAACAATCACAGATTCTTATTTGCATAGCGTTTTACAAAATGTCCCAATTTTTTGTGGGTTTGTATTGTCAGCACACTTTCCATCTTACTGTCATTGTTAAAAATGCCCTTAACAACTGTGTGGGGGCCCCTTTTAAGGACTGTAATAACTGTTACAGTCTAGGATCTGTTATGTTGACCCTTGTGCTTTTTATTAGCCAATTAAAAGTCCTCAGAGGCATATTATGTGTAGCTAAGTCCTGAGTGTAGTGTGGTTGCTTAGTCATTCAAGTTGCTGGTTTTGTTCTGAGTATGTGTAAATGAAATCAATATATTTTTTTTTTCTCATGCAGTTCCATTCTGAATCGTTTAGTAAGTGCTGTTACAGTCCAAACTACAGATAAATCAAGATAAATCAAGAATGATACAGGAGGTAATTAATGCTCTAATTCACATTGTTTGTTTTAGACAGACATTATAAACCTTTAAAACTAGAAAGATTCACAGTAGCTATCTTTTAGCTGCCATGTGGTTAATAGTTTGAATGCTATGTTCACGGTGATGTCATGATTGTTAAAGTTCAACTGTCAAAATAAAAAGATTGAAAGTTGAGGTTTTATTGTTCTGGCCAAAGTTTTACATTGTGTTTTGGTTCCAATAGTGTATTGGTTGTTGTGTATTTATGTAAAATTAAAGTACACCATTCTTTTATCTGCTAAAGTAAAAGGTAATTGTGCAAAATGTTCACATAATTGAGTACATTGACTCCTGTATAAAAACTGGAATATAACAAAATGACCACAAAATTATGCTATATAATTTTTTGATAATGCCAAATGTCTCTGAATATAATGAATGATAAAAATGTTAACCATTGACTTTAATATTGGGGTAATTACATGTAATTTTGCGTTGTATTTCTGTATTTAACCAGTAGAATCCAGTGATGTAACAGCGGTATCTTGTGGATAAACAGTACATTGTAATAGTTGGTAGGCAGATCAACCAACATTTAACTGTTATCCCCTGTAAGTTTGTAGGATATAAACATTTATTGACAGATTGTGTCTGTTAAAAAATGTTTAATAGGATTGAAAGACAGTAAAGTGACCGTTAATTTAAATAACGTTTCTTTATTTTACTTAAAAAATCTGTACTTTGACAGATGCATGTTGTAGATTGATTAACCTAATTACACTGTTATTTAAAAATAGCAACCCTCAAATTACAGACTTTAACTGTATTTATGCAGTATTTCTGTGTTTTTAATACATACTAGAGATGTTTTTTCTACTAAACTTTGGTCGTAAAATTACACAGAATATTTACATGGAAAAGCTGTAATTTACAGTAATCCTCTGTACAGTATTTTACTGTAAAATTACTGGAACTGTTTGGCAACTTTTTCTGCCAGACATCTTACCGTTTTTTACGTACAGTGTATTTTTGAGCCTGTCTGCCGCTTATTTTGGTACTGTCATCAGTGACTTTCTGCTTTTGCATCCAGTCTCTTTTTTCAAACCTGACATTTGTGAATACTTAAGCTCTCTTTGTCTGAAATTATAGGATAAAATGTTTTTTGTAGTCAGCTAACAGTGTATCATATTTAGGTAAATAGTTTTCTCCCTCTTTCCTTACATTTCCTGGGCCACTGGCTGCTTCGCAATCTCAGAGCATAATGGATCCGCCCTCATACTTAACTGTTAGCAACTTTTTTTATTATTTAATTGCTTCTTCTTTTTCTCTTCAAACATATCTTTGGTGACTCTGGCAAAGAGATGAAGTGTTGTTTTGTCAGACCACAGCAGTTGATGATGTTTTGCATACTTCAGATAATGACTTGTTGAAATTGCAGAAATGTGTCATATTTAAGTTTGTTCAGTGCAAAGCTGGTCTT